CATTTAACAATTACGCTTGCTTTTCATTTTTCATCCTTGCAACTTTGTCAGATTTTTTTTTTTCAACTCGACCATAAAAACTTCCAAACTTCTGTGTCATTTTCGATAAATATTATTTCTGATGTATATAGCCCACGTATATATTATGTTTGAAGTAGTACAAAAAACTTTTATATACATATGTACTGTATTAAAATTGCATTAATCATGAAATATGATCGTCATGACTATATTGGTGTTGTTTGGAACGAATCTGAGAATATATGTAAAAATTAGAAATCAATTGATTAAATATGTGATAGAAAAAATTATGTAGCTGCAACCACAAAGAAAGGAATGATGAAGATCTTATTTAGTTAGGTAGCATTGATAATTTCGATCAGGATAGTAATATATTTTAGTGAAAATCAAGTATGCGAACGTACAGGCATTTCGTATATTGTACGGAACTGGTACTTGTATGTTCATATTTCTGTCATACACTTATTCTTTCAAATATTTAAGCACCGGCGAGCATCATGCAGAGAATTTTGAAACAACCCTTGGCCTTTTTGTTATACTTTTCTTTCCTTGGAATTGCATGCATGAATTCATAGGGACTAGTACAGCAATCTCATTGCCAGATTATACGAATTTGGTAATGTCATTTTTATTTCTAAAATTAAACTGTAAAATGAAATCTCAATAGAAATACATTATTGTACAATTAGAAGAATTAGACATATTTATAATATTTTGCAATCATTATATGTATATGCAATTATAAACTTTTGTATTTTTATACATTCATATAATTTATTTATTTTAGTATATTTTTACTAAAATCATTTATAACAGGAAAAAATATATTTTATATATTAAAATTGAAAAAAAACTAATCCTTTCATTATGGATTATGGAAAATGTCAATAGAACTTATGGGAATTCTGCATCTAATTATTCATTTATTAATTTAACAATGTAAATCTTTGTAGATTTTAAAACAAGAAATGTACATAGGTAGTAAATATATGTACATATGTACATAAATAAATTGTAGATGTTTATGCATTTATAGAAAATTTAAAAATGCAAAAATTTACAGAGTGCTCATAATATGGGAAAATATATAAAATATTCAAAGTAAAGCAAATAAATGTAATAAATTTCACGTAGGTTCTATTTTTTTAACTATACTGATAAAAATATATATTATAAGTAAATATTGTTATATCTTTATCATTTAGTTTTCACATTAAAAATGATATTCAATAGATTGTTATTAAAATTTTTTTTTAAATTTGTGAATTATACTCTGTATCATTATTATTTTATTGTATTATTGTCATTTTAAAAAGGAATACTTGAAATTTGTTTCTAATAAAATATTCTGTATACGGTATTCCTGAAATCAATTGTTTTTTCTTCCTTTATTTAATTAAACGTTTCCGTGAAAACGTGAAACGTCATTTGACAGTGACAGATTGCCACGAAACGGAATAGTTGCGTGTACCACTCGAAGTTTCAACCCTTGTGTGCTATGCGGATATACTATGTCATCGTGTCGAGTTGTCAAATATACCTATTACATTAATTAGAAAAATAATATGTCTCGATCATGTAATTTCAGGTTAATTTTCATTTTCCCCATTTTTGAGCACTCGGTAATATAATTATTACCTTTGACGAAACGTGGCTACCACTGCAGCTTGCAATCGACAACCGGTATGATTACATACATCCGATTCCCTTTTTCTAGGAAACATTGGCATATTTTTGCGACCATCCAGTGCCATTCTTGCCGTTCCTTTTTTACACATAATACGTTTGGAAATGTTTGGTGAAAAAAATGATGCAAATGCGATTCTTTTCAAAAATAAAATTAGATAGAAATCAAATTATATATAAATTTACGAAACTGTCTCAAGTCATACAGGTTGTTCTGTTATCGCACGTAATAATTATCTCCAAAAGTATTTGCTATTGTTTGAAATGAAACTTACTACGTTTCGGGGGAGAAATCTTACGAGGTTCACCAGATTTATCCAGATGAAGATCTGAAGATCTCTATTTATTTGAATAGACTCGTATATTTTTTATTAATCGATAAATCTCGATATTCTGTATGAAAAGAAAAGTATCGACTCATGTATGTCATTATTAGTCAGTAAGAGATATTTTGACTTCAATTTTGTACGATTTATCGTATGAAAGACGAGGAAGGACAAGAACAGTATTCTTGTATTCATACCGTCCTGAGAGTTCAAACATTCTATATAGATGTACAAAATAACCTTGCATCGCAGTACCGATTTCCAAACTTCAACTCGCGTCAAGTGAAAACAAGGAAGAAGCTAACCAAACATCCAACCACAACCCGTCCATAGATCACGACGAGAACGACGCGCTGTAAAGTGTCAAACTCGTGACCAGCAGCGATCGTTTCGACCGCTGAGAAACCAAGAAACCAGAACTACAAGAGAAGGTGGATCGTTTTCAGCGACTGCTTTTCCTTTCTCTTTCCACAGGACAGTAAAATCTCAAGAATCCCAGGACGTGTTAGCATTCTTCCTTAAGTCTCTTCCAACGAATCAATTTGCGAACCGGCGAGAAGGGACTAGTTGGTTGTCGTAGCGGATCACCGATGTTTCGCTCGTTTCTTTTTACCAACGTAACAGAAACGGCCTAAGCATCTCAAAAGAGAGAGAGATAAAGAGAGAGAGAGAGAGAGAGAGAGAG